GCGTGTGTGTGTGTGTGTGTGTGTGTGTGTGTGTGTGCGCGCGCGTGTGCGTGTGCGTGTGTGTAGCTGCTGCCTTTTGAAGACCTGGCCCTGAGTCTTTTCGCTACATGGCCTGACCACTGGGGGGCGAACATGTAGCACCTACCAGGGAGTTGGGTGGGGCCCAGGGTCTATTCTAAATTGTAATCTACCCCCCAGGCAACTCAAGATGCTTCTCCCCTTGGCTCCCCAACCATAGGACACTGCCCTCAGAGGTGGTGTCTTAATCCCAGCCGTCTTGTCTAAGGCCAAATCTTCCTGGATGTTGTGGCCAGATAAGGAACTTCCCACTGGAAAATATAATGCTGTCCTCAGTCTCTGTCACTAGGAGAGGTGGAGAGTCCCTCCTGGTCTCCTGGACAGGGGAAGAAGAGGGACTATCCCTGCTGGAAGTGAGAATTTAGAGCTTGGGGCCCTGTGGCTTGTTCTAAGAGTTGGTGTGTGTGTGTGTGGGGGGGGGGATGTATGTGACCAGAGTAGAGAGAAGTGGAGGTGGAGATCAAGAAGCAGTCCTGGGGCTCGGGCGTGGTGGTGCACACCTGCCTTTAATCCCAGCAGAGATCGGCAGGTGGCTGCTTTAGAGGTCGGTGAACAAAAACCCCAGCATGATGGGGAGTCGGAGGCTAAAGTGAGGAGGCTAGTCAAACTTCCTCCGGGTAGGAGCTATGGGCTGGGTCAGCACCGCCTTCTCCTTCTGTGGCAGGTAGCACGGCCTAACCCTGGCAGGTGCACACATAGAAAGGTGCACACACACAGAAAGGAAGGTGCACACCCAGGGACCCAGGGACCAGGAGAACAGGCGACAGGTATCTGCTGAGAGCCAATAAAGCTCACCCCCGAGGACTGAGCTGGGAAGGGTGGGTGATGAGGCCAACAAGGGTCTCCCTGTGCCTGTGTGTGTGTGTGTGTGTGTGTGTGTGTGTGTGTGTGTGTGTGTCTCCTCTTAGGTGTTTCTCTGAACATCCCTCCAATATCCAGGCCATCTGGGTCTTGTTGGTCTAATTCTCTTTGATTGTTCTCTCCTGA